ATGCACATTCTCCATACTGTTCTCTATACATTATTAACTGTGCTTGCAAGGAGAATTTAATCATTTCCTTTATTCTTGTGACTTAAGTTTGTGATCAGGGGTGATACTGAAAGGAGAAATTAGATGCTGGTCACTCTTTGGGGCCAAAGGGTTACAGGGTTGGTACTGTGGGCTTCCTCATCATCTTCTTATATTTTGACAGTTGATTGTCAAGTTCTCAAAACTCATGTCAAGGTGGAACTTCTTGTTTAAATTTGTTACTGGGGAGAAGTAGGGTTAAAATTACATTATAACATGTTAGTAAATTTGTCTAATCAAATTCAATTGGGTGAGTGTGCTTCATATTCCTTGGTATGAAGCCCCTTGGGAAGTTTGGAGAGCACTCAAGAAGCCAGAGTTGCTCTTGGCTATGCCTCAAGCAACTCTTATGCATCTTTTGTGCTCTCCAAACTTCCCGTGTGCTTCATATCTCAATGAATGCATGCTGACATATGAACCAATTGTTAAAGGCTCCAAGTCTCAGGGTTGATTTTGAGAAATACTTCAATCCAACTATGGAACTATTTTTAACAAAACTTCCATGCATTTTTGATACTTGATCTAGCTTGTGATTTGATTGGGAGAAACTAGATGTATAGTTAAATGTTTTAAGAGGATGACTCACTGAAACACAGGAGAAAACATGTTGCAAATCATAACTTGTCACATGGATACTTTTGTAACCATTTATTCCTGTCATGGAATGCAGTATCCAAAATATTTAAAAGTTGTTCAAATTCAAACTGGTTTTGATTGTATTATCATTATGATAAATTATTGTAATGTTACATTAGTCAAAGCTAACATAAACTTTGAGAGCAGATCAACCCATTTTTGTTTGTAGGAAAGACTTGATAATCAGTGAGTTGTCTCATCCTTTCCACCACATTTATTAGGTTAAGCTAAGGGTTACTTTAATTTAAAATCACATTAGTATGATTTCAGACTAAAGTTTGAACAACACAAAGTGCAATTACCACTTTATTGCATCTATTTTGAAATCAGGACACTCAATTGCTTAGTACAAGTTTTATAGCCTGATCCAGTGGTATTGAGCTGGTTTCTAAAAAGTTCCAAAAGTCGTCTTATTTTCCTGAAATTTGATTGATTCTTTAAACAAGGGTTGAAATTTGATTAGTTGCTGTGCTTTAGTAAAGCTGTCTGGCTTTGGTGGGGAAATTAAAATGGTGTAATTTGTGAATAAATAACACCGGTGAGAGCCAATCAGATTTCAGGGAACACAAGTGATTTCAAAATGGATGTAATAAATAAAAATAAATGTGGTGACAGTTTCAGAATGATTTAATTGTGGTCAGAGGTGAATGATTGAACTACTTTTAATTATTTATTGTCACAGTAGTTGGCTGGAATAACTTTATATGGATACTGAAAGTGTAATATATTCCTATCATCTGTGAAAATACTCAGTTGTTCAACTATGAACAAATTCCTTAAATTGTAAGAAATTTTTTAAATAGAGAAAGATGTTTTTCATCATCATGAGCGTGGGACAAAAAAAAATTCTGAGTCTCCATGAGGCATCAACACCTCAGACCTTGCTTCAGATTTCATGTTCTGATGCTCTTTCATTAATATATTTTTCAAACTTCTTACAAAAAAATAGTTTTTTTAAGGAAGAGTCAGATAAAATCTAAAGGGGAAATTATTTTGTTTTAAACAATGAAGGTCATTACTCTGCAACATTGATAATAAAAGTTATATGATAATCACAGTTGCTATAGAAATATTCTCTTCGCAGATTTGCTGCCTCTGCAATTAGGAAAATTTGTGGGAGGAAAAAGTCATTGAACTTCATGCTAAGTCAGTAAAATTTTAAAATGATAAAAAGTCAGGAACATTTTAAATTATAAAACCACCAGTTTAACACATGGACCACCATAGGCTGTAACTACATTTTTCATTCATTTTGATCTTGTTATTCAATTTTTTTTAATTCTGACTTTCTTTCATTTTGTTTAGACCATAATACGGTTGCTTTACTATAAGGGTTTTTATTGAATACCATATTAGCTAGATTAAGGGTGAAAGAGGAGACTGCTGGCTGCTAAATTTAATTTTATCAGCCAATAGGAAAGTCAGCGAAGTTATGTTAGATGTGGCCTCAACTTTGCTTTGAGGAAGCATCAATCATACAGTTTGTAAAATGTTTTATGTGGCACATGCAGTTTAGCATCATCAATATCCTTTTATTTTTTTGGTTATTACTCATGATGTTAATTTCATAAGGTGTTCCATTTCAGTTTCATTTTAAAACAGATCTGGCTCACTTAATTGTTCCCAGGATAACAATACAACAGTGGAGTCAGTGGACAATGCTCAATTCAAACTTTTCTGTTGGTGATATGAATTGTAACTACAGGTAAAAGTTAGGAACACTTTCAAAGCATGCTCTTGCCTCATCTATGGGCTTGTGTATCATGCAGTGCAAAAGTTTACAGTTGGCACTCAAATTTCACCTTTCTGCACTGTTTGGGATTGACTGACAGGCATTCTCACCCAGTAAGCATGCTGTAATCATTTATTGGACATTATGTTTGATCATTTGTGCAGGAATTCATGCTGATTGCAATGCACGGTGCAATCATAAAAAACCCCTTGTTTCCCAAAAAGGTGTGCAGTGCTCACAGAGCACAGATAACTCAAGTACTTTCAATTGCTGGAGCTCAGTGGCCACAAGACACCAAACCTCAAATTGGGTTCCATACCACACAGGAACTAGGAGTATCACTACTCCCTCCTCCTGGACAGGAGCAAAGTCAATGCAGAATCCACCATCCCCTGGTACCCTGGTATCCATTTCTTATCCAGGAGAGAGGCTTCATCGAAGGAGTGTCTCCCCTTAGAATATGACAATAACTGAACCATGGCCGAAATAATTGAGACCTTTTGACTCTTTGGCCACAAGCAGTCCTTCCTTTTTGAGTAAAATGCATTGCGGGTAAAAAAAAAAAATCAGAAAAAAAAAATATTGATGTACATATGCTACACAGAACTCTGGGAGTGAGGCACATGCAAAGTATGTGCTAGTTTTCAAGGTCGTTATGAGGCCTCATTGTATTCCCTAGATGTTGTCAAACATATGATTACTTCTTACTTTCAACATTGAGAATACCATTAACTGGAGCTGCTTGCTATTGAGAGGGTCACTTTGCATTGTGTAGCAAAAAATTTCAACAGGTGTTGTGCCAAGGTTGTCATATGCACTGTTTCTAGAATTACCTGAGGTTTGAAAGGTAGTAGAGAGGATGGAGAAAGATTTCAATCAGGTACAATTAAGTACTTGTAAAGTTTGCTCACTCACAAGTTTGAAGGTCCAACTTGGAAGAATTACCCCTTCCTTATGACTGATGTTTTGTTTTTGTGCCAGTGAGATTAGGATAACCTTTCGAAGTTACTAACAGCTTAGACTTAGTAAAAATCTAGATAAGCTTTACAAGGGTTTCTTTCTGGCAGCTTTGTGACATACTACCCCCTTAATAGAGGAAATTGCTAAAGCCCTTTGTGATATTTGACATAGAATGACATAACTGATGGTCACCAGTATACTTTTACAAATCCCTAGCTTGCAACTTCAGGGATACCTCTCCAAAGTAATGGAGAAAATGATGAATCTTGGCTTGCAAGCAAGCCCTTTGCTAGTTTTTAAAACCACTCTGCCCTTACTACTCCTCCCTCCAATAGTCATGTTAACCCAGAGTGGATTCACTATTGACTGACACCTCTCTTTTTTACTCAAAAGTTATGCAAAAGTTTAATTTAAATAAAAATGCTTCTACTTATGCCCAAAAAACTACAAAACACTTCTTGCATCAACACTTCCAAAAAATTTCTACTTACAAAAACTAACTCATGTTCAAGCACATTTATCTTTAAAAGCTTACTAAGTTAGCTTTCATGCATCAGCTAATTGCCCAAAAAAGTTATAACATTTGTTACTGTTTATTTTAACCAAAACAAAAAAATACCTTTTCAAATATTTCTTTAAAGCTAATTCATGCAACTGTACTTTGTAAGCTTTGGTAACTAGTTAAAGGGAGACTCTTAAACAACACCTGTAAAATCTCAGAGATCTTGAAACTCCTTAAACTGAGCAAACTAAATGGTGCATTTAAACCCTTCCCTTTAGATTTTTCTACAAAATTTAAAATTCAAAGCACAGAAGAAGAGTGCCAGAATTGTTTTATAGCAAAAACAGATACAAACATGAAGAATAAAAGAAAGTCCAGGCATTGAAAGTTACTCTTGGTAAGCCTTGTTTCCATGTCCTAGACAGGCTCCAAATGGCTGTGAGATGTTATTCCCCACCCAAATAAATTACTACCTTTAAATATCCATTTTGTGATAATAACCCCTTACCAAGTTTACATGCAAAATCAGATAGAAATCATTGAACTGTCCTCAGATTTTTGATACCGCTCCATTTTTGCGGAGTATCAATCTAAGACTGGCTGTTAAAAACCCCAGTATGGCACAACAACCATTAACAAAGATGTAAGCTTTGCTGAAAGTAAAAAGAAAAGTACCTATATTAATAATTATGTTGATTAAACTTTTTGAAAGTGATTAGATTATGGTAAACACAATGAGTAATCAAATTGGAACAATATTTTTAAAGCAAACACTGAGCTGATGAGAATAGAGTGACAAGGTAGAACAAGGGTGTAACATGATCATGATTAACACCACACAATTTTCCAACTAATTTACAGAAAAATGTATAGACTGGCCATGTAAAGGAAGAATACAAGTCTTGCAAGTTAATCAAAGGGCTAATGAAATTCATAATGACATAAACTTTGTTGGTTTTTAATGGTAAAAATTAATAAATACAACATAAACTGTATTTCAAACAGCATACATTTGC